GTGGTAAAGGGGTGGGGTTTTATGAACAGATCTAGTTTAGTCAAAGAAGTGGTGGATGTGTAATTCGCGTATTGTGTGTGTAAGGGGGTGGGGGTGGGGGGAGGGGATTTTGAGATAGATTGATAGACGCACAGATGGTGGGCGATTTTCTGAATGGGGAGGGGGTGGGAGAGGGGCAGAGAGAGACAGAGAGAGACAGAGAGAGAGAGAGAAAGAGAGAGAGAGAGAGAGGGAGAGAGAGAGAGAGAGAGAGTGAGAGACCAAAGTAAAAACAAATAGTAAGAGGTTTTCAGAGTAAGGTCTTTCTTGTTTTGTTAATTTTCGTTGGGTTTTTTTCTTCTCTTTTCTTGTTGCTTGTTTGCTGTGAGAATGAGAGAGTTAATAATAATAATAATAATAACGATAACAATAGTATAATAATAATGATATTATATTATGTAATATAATCTTATATTGATACGATATTTTCTACTCTAAGTCTATCCGTCTGAAACAGAACTACCTGGCACATGTATAAAATGTACCCAGAGGTGACGTCATAAAAGGTATACAGACGTGACGTCATGAAAGATACCCACACGTGACGTCATGAAAGGTACACAGACGTGACGTCATGATAGGTACACAGACAAAGACCATACACACATACAATTACGTACAGATGTCTGCAGAGAGCATAAACACATACAATTTGTACAGAAAAGTCACGGAGCATAAACATATTTTAATAAAATATATATGTTTGTACAAATGATGATAAAGATAATAAGCAATACATTTCTATACAGATATGTCACAGACAATAAAACACAGCGGGTGGTTGGCGGGTGCTCTGGTGAGGATTGCTCCTCCTTGCCTACCAAACATTTATCGTCCTTATCTTCTCCCTTTTTCTTTTCTGTGTTTGTTACTATCTTGTATCACCTCTGATCACCGGCACTTAAATGACTTTTTTGAGTGGGCTGCGAGTGCCGTACAACGCTTACTAAAACTTAAACTATTGTAACATCTGAAATCTTCAGCAAGTATTTGACCTAATTGTGTTGCAAATCGCTTAAAACTCTTACAAAAAAACTAGAGAACATCAGCCCACAACTGTAGAAAAGATTTGTATTGCGTAGCAGGGTAATCAAGGAAACATCTCTGGCGCAGTTTGAGCTACTGTGGTCAAAATTCGAGGCGCAACTTATAATAATAAT